TGTTGTTTTACATCAGCTGAGAATCTACTTGCTAGGGAAAAACAAGTGGATGCAGCTGCAGCTTTCTTCCTTGGGAGCTGTCCCTCTTTCACAACTGGTTGCAGGTGGCTGGAATTTGGTACTTAAAAAGACTTCTTTCTTCTCTAATGTATCTGCAGAAGTTTGTTCATCTGCTCTGTCTGATGGCTACCCAAGGACATGTAACCCACCTCAGAGGTGAAATGTTCTAGCTTAGAAAAAAAGATTACCCGATCATAAACAGAATATTCTCTCTCAGGCAGTATCATGTGGCAAAAGAAAGATAAGATTGAAAATGTGACCCCTTTTTTCTTCAAGTAGCACAGTGTCACTCAACAGACTTAATTATCCCTGAAGACACATTATTAATTGTTGGTCTGTCAATCAAGCCACTTATTAGACATGCACATGACGTCACATTACAGCCTAACAAATTTTCCTGCCAGTCAAAAACCTTTATATAGATCAATTTGATTTCAGAGGCAAGTCTTGTGTGTGACCTTTTAACTGCGTTTTCTGGGTGAGAATCTGAGGGGAGCTGAATAATTTCTGTGTGGTGACAGGCTGGGGCCGTGGGCTGGAGCCATGGGCAGGAATTCTGCTCCTGGCCATGCTCTGCTGTACAGTGGCATGCTCTGCAGCTCTCATGGTGGGAAGGGACTCTGATGTGGGAGGGGAGTGACCTGCTATGGACCAGAGTACGAATCTCCTTCTGCTTGGGAAGTTCTAGGGCCATGCTTCACTGAAGTATGTGCACTTTTGAGAAAGTGCAGTCTGTCCCGCGTGGACTGCACAGACCCCCAACTGCTACCATGGCTGCAGACCCACAGCAGTACTTTTGGCACTGGGGGAGATCTGGGAGCCCTTGTCTTAAAATGAGACAGGGGAGGTTTAGGTTAGATATTAGGAGGAAGTTTTTCAGTTAGAGGGTGGTGACACACTGGAACAGGTTGCCCAAGGAGGCTGTGGATGCCCCATCCCTGGAGGCATTCAAGACCAGGCTGGATGTGGCTCTGGGCAGCCTGGTCTGGTGGTTGGTGACCCTGCACATAGCAGGGGTGTTGAAACTCAATGATCATTGTGGTCCTTTTCAACCCAGGCCATTCTATGATTCTATGATTCTTTGACTCTCATAATTGGAATACCACCATTGAGATGTGTAAGCTTTATAGAAAGGGCAGATAAGATAGAAGGAGTAGGGGAGTTGCCCTCTATGTGAAGAAGAAGGGTAGACTGTGAGGAGCTGCCTCTGATAAAGAGTCACAGTCTATGGATTAGCCTATGGACCAAAAAAAAAACATCTAGTGCCTGGGGTCTACAACTGGCTGCCTGATCAAAGGGAGACTGTAGGTGAGGCCTTCTTGCTACAGAGGGCACTGCACTCGCAGGCTCTCATCTTGTTGAGGGATTTCAACCACTCAGATATGTGCTGGAGAAACAACATGAGGGGCTGAAAGTGATCCAGGGGACTTCTGGAGTCAATTGATGACAGCTTTCTGGTTCAGGTATTGGACAGTGCAGCCAAAGGTGAAGCGCTACAGGACTTGGTGGTCTCTATGTAGAGCCTGTAAAAGAGGTTAAGGCTGGAGGCGCTTTCAATTGTAGCAACCAAGTCCTGGCTGAGTTCATCATCTCAAGGAATATGAGGCTGGTAAGGAATGGAGTCAGGACCCTGAACTTCAGAAGAGTTAACTCCAAGCTGTTCAAAAAATTAATGGATGAGATTTACTGGGAAACAGTCTTAATTACAACAGAACAGAGCTGGCAGTTCTTTAAGGATGCCTTTCTGAGAGCACAAGAGCCCTCCATCCCCCAGAATAAGAAATTGAGCAGAAAAAGCTGGAAGCCAGCATGGATGAGCAAGGGCCTGCTAATCAGGTTAAGCAGGAAAAAAAAGGAAGTGGGATGGTGGCCTAGGAAGAAAATAGGGATGCTGTTTGGATATACAGGGATGGGATCAGGTAAGTCAGGATGCAGATAGTATTAAAACTTTGTGAGAGATGTGAAAAACAACAAGAAGGGATTATTTGTATACAGTGGGTAGAAGAGACAGGCAAAGGAGAATGTAATCTCTAATAAATGAAAATGGAGAGCTGGCATCCTCAGACATGGAGAAGGGTGAGGTACTCAATGAGTTTTTTGCCTCAGCCTTCAGTAGGAGACAGGATTCCTACACCTCTCATATTCCTGAACTTCTAAGCAGGGGCAGGAGTGGAGAAAGCACCCCAGGTCTCTGAAGGAACGGCGAATGTGCTTCCTCGAACTTACTGCACCAAGTTTCAGCACCACTTCAAGTATCCTCTGAACTTAAAAGTAAATGGCAATGGCTGAGGCTCTCAAGGTAATGCAATTTATCTTCTCAAAATCAGCTTTTTGGGTGTCAGGCAAAACAATTTCACAGTAGCTTGAAAAGATCATGTCTGGCATTGCTGATTTTTTATTGGTCTTTAATGTTACTTGAAAAGACCAGGCCATTCTGCTGTGTTCATTTTTCTCTTGATTTTTCAGACAGTTCGATAACACAAATGAAAAAATACCCAGAATAAGACATCTTTCATAAAGCTGAGGAACTTTGTAGGAACACACAACAAGTCTCCACTTCATGTAGAGCTTTAAGGGGGCTCCTGGATGCAAGCTTGAAGTTAAGCAAAAGAAAAGTCTGTAAACAATAAGAAAAAAATAATGGCTTCATATTTACAGAAGATAGCAGTTCTTTTAAGAACAGTTAAAAGCATTTCTGCAGGGTAAAGCAGCCGTAGCAAGGCTAGCAATGCGAACACCATACTGCATGTCCAGTGCGGGTGGCTGAATGCAGTCTTCCTTGCAGAAAAGAGGATTGCTCGTTGCCTTGTTTCTGGTTCTAAGGCAGTTCAAAAATTCCAGGTGATCTTCCCCAGAAGAGAAAGATTTCATGTATCTCTAATGGAAGTACTGTCTGCAGATGCATTAGTGATTGGCATGGGTGGAGAAGGAATGGCAGAGGAATGAGCCCCTGGTGGAGAGGGGCAAAGAGAAGTGCAAGCCCTTTCTGCAGAGGAAGCAGGCTGCACTCAGTTCCAATTTGCATAGCTGAGGAGGTGGCTCTGTGGAGCATCCCTCTGCCTGACCTCAGCAGTGTACCACCAGCAGCTGTGATTTTTCAGAACTCTGCTCAGTGCATGAGCTGCTGAGCATCCTTGGTCCACCAGGGGTGGGCAGGTTGTTTATGGACTAGCTGGAGCTTCTTTCCAAAAGAGCTCTTGCTCAGAAGCTGTACCAGAAAAAAAGATCCCTTACTGAGAAAATGCGTCTCCTTGTAGCCTTGGGTTGAAGGTTTAGATTGCTGTCCCTTCCCTACCCACAGAGGAAGGGGAAACTGGAAGACCAGGAGCAGCCTGCAGGACCCACAGAAGACCATAAAGGCCAATCCTTCTGCCTCCCTGATCCAAGAACTGCAGTGCATGACATCTGAGGGGGCAAAAAGTTGTGTGACTGCTTTCAGTCTAGTACACTTTTCCAGCATTTCTGGATAAGATCTCTTGTGAATCTTAAATAGCTTCCATCACTGGTGAGTTAAAGAGACAGTGTGATCTGACTCTGCCAAACTTTTTCTTTCCAGGATAACACCATCTGCTGGTGGCCTATTTCTGGAGATGATTTCCACCTATTTGTATATTTGCTACACCTAACAGAATCCTTTTCTCATAACAAATTGCATCACGTTACAATATGTAATTTTATACAACATTACAGTCTTTACTGAGTGATGTCCAGGGACCTGGGGATGTTGCCTAGTAGGGCACATCTTCATTGAGAGTTGTTCTTAGTTTACCACTTACACAAACAGAACATCCTGACTTAACTCAAACACCTTTTATTACAGTTTGAACAAATAACAAAACAAAAACAAAGAAAGGTCTCCATGGAAAGCAAAAGTATGACAACCTGCCACTGAGGACTGCAGACATTTGGAAGCATGTTTAAGCAGAAGTTTAGATATAGATGTATTTCAGTCCACGCACAGATTAGCATTGAAATGGATCGTCCTTCTCCCTCCATGGCTGGCCAGAGAGTCCCACTGCCTCCTTCTGTGCCATATTCATGCAGGGATTTGGATCTGCATGAGATGAAATCGTTGTTCCATCAGATGACTCACATGATGAAGCTGCACCCTGGGACCTCATCATGACATCCTTCACAAGTGGTCCTCCAAAACCTTTCTCTTATGGGTGCCAGAATAGTGAAGGCATTTACCTTTCCCCTGAAGACCTGGCTCAAACATCAACATCAGCAGCTTGCTGACTAAATCCTCTATGCATTTGAATAATTTATCATATGAACAAATTAATTTGTGCTGAATGAAGAGCTGGACTGCTGAGGTGCAGTAATGCCCATACAATGGAATGGAAGCTGGGGAGGTGGGGAAAACAAACCCATAACCATGGCACACAGTGCCATCTGCTTGGGTTGATAAAGGCAGTTGTGGCCATGTCTGAAATACAGGAGAGCAGGGAGTACAGAGCAGCATCCAACAATTGGGTTAGAATGAGTAGAACTGGTTAAGAAACAAACAAATTTCGTGACCTAGAGAAAGATGCCTGTTACAGAATGACTGAAAACTCAATAGCAAGCTTTAGAACTCATTCCGATTTTCCAGTTCAGAAACTATGTAAGTAACATTAATGTTCCATTTATACCCCACCAACAGTTATGAAATAGAAATCTTAACTCCTGCCAAACAATCTGCCATCCCAGGTCTGGACCAGGGAACTGACAAAGGTGTATTACAGCAGTGCAAAGGCTGAAAATACTAACAGCCAGACCAGGTAGTGTAAGCTGCCTTTGGTCCAGCTTACACCAGCTGCTGATCTGGTCCACAAGAGTTTTGCAGCAGGAACAACTGGAGTGATGATGGTTTGTGTTCACCAAATGCTGATGAGCACTACCTAACTAGTCATGGTTCATTGCATTTATGACCAGAAGACTGATTTTATCCAAGGTCATTAAAATCCTTTTTCTAGCTGTTCTTCAAAGAAATCATTACAAGCCACAGTCAGAGTTGCAACCAGAGTCATAAACTCATTAAAATCCACTTCGTTGTCTTTATTGGAATCCAGATCATTCATAATCTTATCAACAAGATGAGGATCATTTTGGCCCTGAAAAGGAAAAAAAAAAAAAAAAAGTGACTTAGCTGTGTAGATCTTGAGTGCATAATTACAGCATGCCAGATGGTACGTCACAGCTCAGGTGCTATGAAATAAAAGAGTGAGGGAATTATGCACCTGGATACAACATACCATGAGGCGTAACATTAAAAACATAGATCTGGTGTTCCAGAGATGCACAGTAACAGAAACTGGAGACTGTGCAGCTCTTAGGAGAAATACAGGTACTAAATGGGTACAGAAATGGATCAAACAGATTTGAGGAGCTGCTGAGCACTGATTTATTTTGGCAAGTCTGATCTGCAATGCATATTTCTCTACATCATTCCTAAAAAAACATGTTGTTCATAAGTGGTTGTATTATACCTCCACTGATCACATTCAGAAGATTTCTACTTAACAAAGAGCACATCCTACTCAGTGAAAGTAAGGGCAGTCAATCTCATAATAGTAAATCAGTAGCTAAGATTAAAAGAAAATTCAAGGAAATGGAGGTATAAAGGTATAAAAAAAATCCTGCTGACAGTAATGGGTCTCATGACAATGCTTACAATTCAGAGGATACAGAAAAAACCAATTATGAATCAAATTATCATTCCATAAAGCATCAATATTGCATAATGAAGAACATAACAAATATGTAAAAAAATTCACATGACAGGCTGATCACTGGGAGATTTTCTTAGAAGCTCTCTGCAGGGCAGACAAGCAGCTGTATTGTTTGCAGTTTCCCACAAACCTGTGTAACAGCTGTCTGTGATGCAGTTATATATCTCTAGAAATATGACAGACCTTGGATCCCACACTACATGACCATGATATGCAAACTGCTTTCTTGTCTGCTGAGAGCTAGTTGCTGGAATTGATTCTTTGAAGGACATATTCTGCCTTTTCCACTTTCCACTTTTCAAATGGGATATTTGATCTCATCTCCCTCTCTCCATCTCTGCAAAGACAACTGTCACCTGAGAGGCTGTGGCAGAACGTACACAGTGTAAGGAGATGCTGTTCCTGAACACTTTGATAGATGCTTATCCCACCTGAGAAACAGAAACTCAGAGACTCAGGAGCTACATCTTACAGAAAGGAAGTCAGTGAGCTCCCTGGTGAGGAGTTCCTTGAGTTCTCTTTTGCTCAGCTTGTATCTGTCACCTTCTTTGCCAGAGTAGTGATGAAAAATCCTGATGAAGGTGTTCATGGCATCCTCCAGTGCAGTGGACATGGCTGGAGCAGGAGAGCTGTGGGGCAAAAATCCAGAGTCAGCAACGTGGCAGAGGAGCCAAAATTCTAGTTCTGACCTGGAGAAAGGATGAGAGCTAGCTGGGGATGGGCATTGTTATCAGCACAGAGAAAATGAGTCTTCAAATGATCCAACCTGCCATGTGCATGTGAACAAGCTATGTTATTAAAAAATTAAATTAAAAATTAAAACTGGGGACTGGAACTAGATCACAGAATCAGAGAACTGTAGGGGTTGGACGGGACCTCTAGAGATCACTGAGCTTAGCCCCCTGCAAAGCAGGCCCCCTACAGCAGGCAAATAAAGATGAAATTGAAGTCACTTCCAACCCAAGCCATTCTCTTCTATGAAAATAAAATATCATCCTGAATTCATTTGCATTTACCTCTAAAAGGTACAGAGAAAGGAAAGCCCTTATTTAAGAGAGTGTTCTACTGCAAATACATTTGCTACCAAAAGAAACCTCTTGCTCCCATAGCTGAAAATACAAACACGATGAAGGCACCACAATGCTCATTCAGAAGTTTCCACAAGAAATTAGAATCAACAGAAAACAGCGGCTGAAGGAGACATGCATTTATACAGGATGTCCCTGACATTTCTATGGTGGTTGGAGGAAAGTCACTGATTATAAAAATGTGCAAGGGTATGGGCATCAGCTTTTCCTTTATTTGGTACTGGTTTGAGATGGTTTAAAAAAGAAAGAGAAACATCACTAAAACTGAGAAAAGACAAATGTAACTCATTAGTGAGTAACTGACATTAAAAAAAAAACAAACTGAAAAATAGAAACAAGGTGAAAGGAAAAGGGAAATATTGTCCTGATTAAGCTCCAGGAGAGAGTTTAAAAAGGCAGAATGAAACTCAAAGTTCATGGAGTCATGAACGATATTACAATGCAAAGACCAAGACTTACCTGCTTTACAGGTGTGGTGAAGAGTTTGAAGATAAACACTTAGCTCAGAAGGTGATGGCCACCTTCTGTTCAAAACCCACACACAGGCTTTTGTTTATCAGGCTGAGAGGGTGGATTACACATATAGGGACAGACGTATAATTGTCACACAGACAGGTCTTCTGTTTCTCTCTGCATTTGCCTACCAGTGTGCTGTAAAAGTGCTTGCTCTAGATAGGTCACTTAAATATTCACCAGGCAGCACAAAAGACACTTAGTTTTTTTTTTTTTATCATTTAACCTCTTACAAAAATGCATATCCAGAGGCCTGAAGGTAAAAAGTAGAAAATACAAACAATAAATGTAAGTCTGTATGGAATAACATATTCCATTTTCAAAAACACCTTCCTAATCTCTCTACAGTTCTACAACAGAGACCCTAAGTGCCTGGGCACTGGCAGCCCATCCTCAAGGTCCTTCAGGACCAAATGTAGGCTTGTAGTTGAGTTTGCACCAAGCCCTTTGAGACGTTTATCTTTACTGTCAGGTGTCTCAACAAGCCTAAAATGCTGGCTCTTGTCAGACAAAGTACTTGCCATAGAATCATAGAATCATCAAATCATAGAATCACTCAGGTTGGAAAAGACCTTAAAGACCATCAAGTCCAACCATGACCTAACCATACTATCATAACTCTAACAACCCTCCACTAAATCATGTCCCAGTGCACCACATGCAAACAGTTTTTGAACACATCCAGGGATGGTCACTCAACCACCTGCCTGGGGAGCCTATTCCAGTGCTTAACAACCCTTTCTGTAAAGAAGTGTTTCCTGATATCCAGCCTAAACTTACCCTGGCACAACTTGAAGCCATTTCCCCTCGTCTTGTCACCTGTCACCAGTGAGAAGAGACCAACCCCACTCCTGCTGTAAGCACCTTTCAGATACTGGAAGAGAGCAATAAGGTCTCCCCTCAGCCTCCTTTTCCCCAGACTGAACAGCCCCAGTCCTTCAGTCTCTCCTCATAGGGCACATTCTCCAGGCCCTTCACAAGCCCTGTTGCCCTTCTTTGGACCTGCTCCAGCACCTCAATGTCCTTTCTGTACTGAGGTGCCCAAAACTGAACACAGTACTCGAGGTGAGGCCTCACCAGTGCTGAGTACAGGGGCAGGATGACTTCCCTAGTCCTGCTCACCACACCATGCCTGATACAAGCCAGGATGCCATTGGCCTTCTTGGCCACCTGGGCACAATGCTGGCTCATATTTAGCCGGCTGTCCATCAGTACACCAAGGTCCCTTTCCATCAGGCAGCTTTCCAGTCACTCCTCCCCAAGCCTGTAGGGTTGCCTGGGGTTGTTGTAACCAAAATGCAGGACCTGACACTTGGCTGTACTGAAACTCATACAGTTTGCCTTGGCCCATCGATCCAGTCTATCCAGGTCCCTCTGTAGTGCCTTTCTCCCCTGAGGCAGATCAACACTCCCTCCCAACTTGGTGTCATCTGCAAACTTACTGAGGGTGCATTCAATCCCCTTATCAAGATCATTAATAAAGATGTTAAATAGAAGTGGCCCCAGTACCGAGCCCTGGGGGACACCGCTTGTGACCGGCCGCCAACTGGATTTAATTCCACTGACCACAACTCTTTGGGCCCGACCATCCAGCCAGTGTTTCACCCAGCGGAGCATACGCCTATCCAAACCATGGGCAGCCAGCTTCTCCCTGAGGATGTAGTGGGGGACAGTGTGAAAGGTCTTACTGAAGTCCAGGTGGACCACATTGATAGCCTTACCCTCATCCACTAAGTGAGTCACCTTGTCACAGAATGAAATCGGGTTTGTCAGAAAGGATCTACCATTTGTAAACCTATGTTGACTGGGACTGATCCCCTGGTACTCAAGTCTTCTGGAGGAAACAAGGAAACCAGTTTCAGATAAAGATGTAGTTAGAACTGTAATGTGCTCAGATCTGCGGACCTGAGTTAATTTCTGTTAACTCAGTTGAACTGAATTCCAGAGGCTCTAAGGAGAGCACCCTGGGTTTAGCACACAGCTACTTCACACACGTCTCGTACCAGGCAGGAGATGCTTTTGCTCCTCTCTGCCCTCTGAGCAGATGACACAAAATGCCCATCAGTTGGCTAAACTTGTCACCACATAGACATTCTCTCTGTGCTTCCATTTCTGACATGGATCCTTGTGGAAATGCAGTGCAGTTCAACCTCTTTTAAAAAGTAATCTTCCCAAAGAGTTCCTACCCTGCTTCTACCCTGGAGACATCCTGGCCTTGCTGCTGACAACTGGGGAATGCAAGAAGGAGCAGCTTCATCACGGTAGGCCTTCTTATCACTAGAAATCCAAAATGGCCACAGTTTTCATGACAGTCGCATGGAACAGAAAGCTTCTTGCTTGAGTTTTCTTTCCAAAAAGTTTTCCGCCTGTTGCATATGCATATTCATCAAACAAAATTGCACAGAAAAACAGCAACAGGAAACACATCTGTGGCTACTTGTCTCTTTTATCCCAGCCTGGAGGACTGAGAAGGAGATGGGCTACGCAGATGTTGTTTCTGAAAGCTTCCAGCCACTCATAATTTTAAGTGCCCAGCAGATCTCAGCCCTCACCTCCTTCTGTCTCCTCTGCCCCCAGACATGATGCCTCTCTCATTGCTACTGCAAGAAGCCTCCACAGTGGGAGGGGTCTTGGGGAAGGACTTGTCTGATGGGCAAGGATGTGCTCTGGGAGAAGGGATGCCACACACAGTGCTGAATCCAGCAGTATTGGGATGTGACTGCACATGAAGCGTTGCTTCTGAAGCAGTAGGCAGGCTCATTTGGATAGAGGTCTCTGTGGATGCACACAGTAGTGCTTCACTTCTTATCACTGTGATTGTGATTCTCACTGGGCTTGGAGGAGGAAACACGTCAATTTGAGGACAGGACCTAATGGAAGCCAGCCTGGATGTTGATCCATGACAAGAAGAATCTACCAGCCCCTGAAACCAGGTGAGTTTTGGGGAAGAGTGCCCTCCATTCTCCTTCTGTATGTGATGAGGGACACTTGTGGTATCAGCTGCATTGCAGCTGTGCATGCACTGTGCCATTGCAGATGCTAAGAAAAAAATATATTCTGTTCTTTATGCATCTACAAACATGAAGGGCTGTGATTCACTAATGACAACAACTACTGCTCAGAAATATTACTCAAATAAACAGTAAAACACCTTTTTGTTGTTGTTGTTATTTATTCAACATCTTCACCCACAGCCAGAAAGAAACATAGCTAAGTCAAAACATATGTATACAATCCTCCTGTTTTTCTATGTATTATACATATCCTCTGGCTTATGAATATTGCAGTTAATTATTGAAGCAGAGTCTACAGGAGGTGCAACTTTCAAGCAGCACGTATAGTCTTTCAGAGTTGCCATCCTCAGGACAGAAGAAAGAAGGGCTTTCTCTGTTATCTCCAGAACATCAACTCAATAATTTACACAGTGATACAATCTGTGTTGTCTCTTTCAATAGCTACTTTCACTAAAGCTAATTGTGTAAGGAACTCTCTATCCCATGCTGGAGGATTATATCTACAGAAGGAGCAGCTGCACTGAGCTTGTTTATTAAGATGTCCTTTCATTTGTTCTGTCCACCCCACTCCTTTCCCAGCTATTGAAATACTGCTGGTGGCTTCAGTGACAGCAGGGATCTCCCAGCTCCTCTAAGGGCAGATCCCAGAAGTTACTCAAAGTTCATGATTGTCAATCTACTGTTTTTAACTCTTCATCCAGAATTCATGATAATCATTTTTTGATAGGCTATCTGATAGGCACTGAAGATAACTAAAGGCATTGTGGCCTGAGAGAAGAGCATTTCTGTATCAGGGCAAGAACCAAGTATGTATTAGTAGCTACCACTTCCCCACTGATCCTACTCTGCTCTCTGGTTTGCACCAGAGTGAGCACAGGAGTGGTGCCAGGGCAGACACATGGCTGATGGAGCAGAATTGCAGTGATTGGAGACATGGAAAAGATTGGTATCTTCTTCATTAGTGTCCAAACTGCCCATGTCTCGTCCCACCTATTGCT